GACACAACATCTTTGTATGTGGTGCTGAGGATCGAACCCGGGACGCATGCATGCCAGGCGAGCATGCTACCGCTTGAGCCACATCCCCAGCCCTATTTTGTTTATTTATATGTGATGCTAAGGATCCAACCGGTACCTCACACATGCTAGGCAAGCGCTCTACCACTGAGCTACAACCCCAGACCCACTTCAACATACTTCTAATGGGAGTTCTGCAAGGAGAGATGAGAGTCAACATTCCATGAGATACTCATTAAACATTTACCAGAATTGACATGAATCTTCAGATTAATGAGGCATACTGTTCCAAGCAGGAAAAACAGACAACACACATCAGAGCAGATTGGCAGAATTCAAATGTGTGTGTGCCAATATGCCCTGTTTCAAAGTGTATATTTTAAAAGACACCAGAGAAAAGAGAAATTTCTAACAAAGTCATAAAAAGCAGTCTTAACAGAGGCTGCTTTTCATCAGTATCAGTGCCTGTGAAGCACCGTGATAGGTGTAGAAGTTGATATAAGTAGTGAGAAAACTGCCTATTTTAGAGGAGTATATAGTCTAATACAAAGAATGTTTTTAGAAGGAAGAAAGTGTTGTCTTTTTTTTTTTCTTCTGGCGTTGGGGATGGAACCCAGGGTTTTGGGCATGCTAGACACATACACTCTACCACTGAGCTACATCCTTAGCCCTAAAGGGTCATGTCTCAAGAGAGGAACAGATGTCTTGAGCTGAGTTTAGAGGAGAAATTATCTTTGTTCTGTATGACAGGGGATATGGTACCAATCTGCTAGACTTTGAAAGACAAACAGGACAACGCTAACCACATCAATTTAACTATTTATTGAACACATATTATGTGTATGGTGCTACATTTGGAGCATTTCATCCTGGGTTCATTTATTTTTCACAATAATGCTGTTAGATCAGTATTGTTATTCTCAATTAAATATGAAGAGATTAAAACTCTTCAAGGATAAGTGAATTCCTGAAAACCACACAGCTAGTAAATTGTCCACCTTGGTTCAAGGTGGACCAAGCCTTGAATCTATATCTGGCAAGTTCCCAATTCCCTGCCCCTTTACCTCTCTAATGGTTTTTAGAGTAGGTACAAAATTTTCATTTCCAAAAGCCAATTATCATCTGTCCCTTGGGTTCAAATACCAGGACTTGTCACAAGATGTGGTTTGCAGGCGATTTGCATCATCAAGTCATGGGAAGAGTTGCCAAATTTCCTGGCCCTACTCTCCAAGATTCTAAGAATTAAGTCTGGGATGAGCCCAGAGAATGTTTGTTTGAGTTGTTCCATATTGAACCCAGGGTTTGCGGATACTAAGCATGTGTTACACCACTGGGCTACACACCCATACACACCCAGTCCAGAATTTGTTTTGCTTTTTTTTTTTTTGGGGGGGGGGGTTACTGGGTTTTGCATGCAGGAGCGCTTAACCACTAGCCACATCCCCAGCCTTTAAAATTTTTTATTTAGAGACAGGGTCAGGCTAAGTCCCTTAGGGTCTCACTAAATTGCTGAGACCAGCGATCCTCTTGCCTCAGCCTCTGGAGCATCCCGGGATTACAGGTATGTGTCACTGCGCCTGGCTCCGTTTGCTTTGTAAAGCAAATTTATTTAGTCTATCTTGAGAACACTGTATCTAGAAAGTCTTCGAAGAAACAAGTTCTTCTTTGGAAGAACACTCCAACTACGCTTCAAGTTTTCTAATGGTCTTTTCCATATTGGTACGCCTGAAGCTCTAGTCTTTACTTATCCTTGACAGCACAGGGACTAGTTGTAAGACTAAATGACTGATGAGTGGTTGAGCCGATCTTCATATATCTCAACTTAGAAGCACGAACTAAACTATTTGTCAAATTGCATAAAATCACACACAAAAAAATCTGCAGTTTCGGCTTGGAAGATGTAGAGGAGCAAGTTAGGCCTGACCAATTACATGGTAAAGGCCAACTAAATTGGAATCTCGAACATTTAAGCGTCACCGGTCGGAGATGCTCGGGTAGGGTTGCGGGGATAGGGATGCGAGCTTTAAACGAGGTCGTTTGAGTCTTGCACAGGCGCAGAAGGACAGCGGTCAACCAAACCTCAAGGCGCGCCCTTCCCCCACCCTCTTTCCAGCGTTCCCCCAGCGCGCAGGCGCATAGAGCGCATCAAGATGGCGGCCCCCGTGGATCTCGAGCTGAAGAAGGTAAAACGGGTCTTTAGTAGGCAGAACCTCTTCTTTGGGGGATGAGGGACTATCATCCCTAGAATATCAACTAGAATATCGAGGGGGGCTGGGTCTCAGAAGGAAAGAGGCTAAAGGGGAGGGGGGAATGGTTTCCTAGAGTCTTGAGGCGGGCCCAGCTCTTCTAGCTGGGGTTGGGGGCGAGCGGCTCTTGCTGGGTAGAACTGGTTAAGCTGGGGTAAGTGTACCTGCCAATCCCCGGCCTGTCTCCAGTCTGAACTCTAGAGCCATTTCACTGCGTTTGAAACCCTCAGATATTCAGCTTCATGATAAGAACTGAAGAGAGCGTTTCAAATGGAAGCCCCTTCGGACCGCTTGCCCGAGCTGAGGCATCTAAAATTCGACCTCATTATTTGCTTTGAAAAGCCCCGAGTTCAACCTTTGTTTTTGGCCATTTATTGGATACCATACCTTGAAAGGTAGCAGTATCAACGCTTCAAAAAATCAGACGTTGTTATAGCAGTGTTCTTCAGGGGTTAAGCTCCCCGCCCCGTCCCCTTTTGGAAAGACTTGTCCAAAAAATCTAGTAACGTTTTCCAGTAAAGTATCAGAAGGAATTGTATTTCTCCCTTTGTTCAAACAATTACTTATAAATAGGTTGTTACTCAGAAACATTTGCCACCTAGGAGTGGGTCAAGGATTTTAACGACACTGCGGACCCCAAACCCTGTGTAATGTACCAGTTTAAATGTTTTTCTAAAAAGGTTTCAAAGATGGGGACTATGTACAGTATCGTCTGTTTTACCGTTTACTTTTTTGTTCATTAGTTAGGTTATTCAGGTTAGTAACATCTTACTTTAATGACTACCTTTGGTTAACCTTTGCATAAAAAACAGGACAGCTGAAATAGCTGTTTTGCCCAAGGAAGCTGTTATTCCTCTGGGGATATTAGGTGTCTGTGTCCTGTTTTTTTTTTTTTTTTTTTTGCCATTCTTGAAACTTGTAAATTTAGTCCTTATGTGGTATTTTCTTACGGTGTAATATCTTGGCTTTAACAGTACTTGCTTCCTTAGCAAACTGTATACACAGCAATCAGAGATCCTTGGAATTTACATTTTAAAAAATCATGCATTTAAAAAAATTACCTTTTTTTCCTGTTTAAATTTAAACCATTTCATGGTTTAGTGAAAAAGCTAACAGGAGTACAATTGTACTTACCTACATTAGAATTTGTTGCTAAGAAACATAGACTATGAATGCAAATAGAAAATGATTGCATACTTTAATAGTTTGACAACCAGTTAAATAAGAGCTTTAAACAAGTTCTTTTTTATAATTATCTAGTGGCTTTCAATTTCTTTTCTTCTTGGTGAAAACTAGTAGGAAATTACAGACACCTGTCCAACTCCAAAGGAGATCTTTGGAACATCACTAGTATGTGACAACAAAGTCAGGATAAAAGTTAAGTAGTAGCCTTTGCCATGTATTGTTCCTACCAAATGTTGTTAAGGCATAAATCTGACAGCATGTGAAAGTCATTCCAGGCACTTCAATAAAAGTATCCAAGAACTGTGTTTATCTTCCCAGTTAAGTAGCATACACAAGGGTCACATTTGGCCTAGTATGTGCAGATGAAGATCATGATGCAATTCTGCCACTGCCTAGCATTTTCTCTTTTTGTTTTGGTCATTCTCTTTATAATGACTGCTTTCTGAGTTGAGACAGTAGAATGAAAAGATTCCTGAACTAAGGGGTCAGAAGAAATGGGTTGAAATATCTGTCTTTTCCACCTTTAGTGTTCAGTCTTGTGCAAACCAGTTTTCTTTCTTAACTCATTTAATTACTTGTTTGTGATATGTGAATGATGAAACTGCTACCCCTTACTTAGGATTATTGGGAGAAGTGAGATCTCTTTAAAGTTCTCAATAATATTTCTAAGCTAATATTTTGAACTAATGTGGGAAAGTGCTTTGAAATCCAGTTGTGTAATACAAATCTGGTCAGTTGTTACTTGATATTTCTTGCTTTGAGTCTCTGGGTTTCATCCTCTATTGGGCTTATTGTTTTTATTATTTTTTGGCTACTTGATATGTTTATATTTAATGTGCATTTATTTTGCTTTTTTTTTTAAGAGAGAGAGAGAGAGAGAATTTCAATATTTATTTTTCAGTTTTTGGCGGACACAACATCTTTGTTTGTATGTGGTGCTGAGGATCGAACCTGGGCCGCACGCATGCCAGGCGAGCGCGCTACTGCTTGAGCCACATCCCCAGCCCCTTATTTTGCTTTTTAAAAATTGATTGCATCATATATACATTTATATGTGTGTGTATATATATGTATATATATATTTGTAGACACAATACCTTTATTTTATTTATTCACTCTTATGTGGTGCTGAGGATGTAACCTAGTGCCTCATTACATGCTAGGCATTACATGCTCTACCATTGAGCTACAATCACAGCCTCTGATTGCATCTTCTAGGGAGAGGATAAATTCAGTATTTAGCATAGCTAATTATAATGTTAATTGTAATTAACATTAAACTTATTGACTCTTTTATGTTTGCATTAGTAAATTTCACAGCTTAGTCTCTGGTTAGGATCTAATAAATTTGGATTTGACTTAAATGTTTTCTGTAAAATGTTTAAACTGCTAAATCAAGAACTTGTTTTTATTAGGCCTTCACAGAGCTTCAAGCCAAAGTTATTGACACTCAACAGAAGGTGAAGCTTGCAGACATACAGATTGAACAGCTAAACAGAACGAAAAAGCATGCGCATCTTACAGATACAGAGATTATGACTTTGGTAGATGAGACTAACATGTATGAAGGTGTAGGAAGAATGTAAGTAAAATATGTCCTTAATGTTATTTTGGGAGAGCTTTTGTCTGAATTAAATCATAGAATTTGTTGTTCCTTTTTTTTTTTAATGAGGAATTGAACCCCACATAGGTATTGTTTAAATTTACACTTTGAAGATGGTTGAGGTGATACATATCTATAATCCCAGCTACTAAGGAGGCTGAGGCAGGAGTATTTCAGATTTAGGCCAGCCTTGGGCAACTTAGCAAGACCCTGTCTCAAATAAAATATAAAAAAGGTGGGGGATACAGCTCAGTGGTACAGTGCCCCTGGGTTCAATCCTCAGTACCACCACCACCACAAAAAAAAAAAAAAAAAGGCACTTTGAAGTACATTTCTTAAATATTTTACTGTTTTTTTTCTATGATTAGTTACTGAAGTGTGTTGCTTCAATGCTGCAAATATGATTTTTTTTAAATGGGAATATGTTTATGTTTATGGGCATTTTGTATGTGAAGATTTATTTTGGTACGTATAGTTTTAATCTCCTTTTCCCTACTTATTAGGAATCTACAAATCACAAATCTTTTAGATGTCTGACCGGAGTTGTAAAATAAAAAATAAAGATTCGCTTGCCATTTAAATACACTCATTCTAAGTGTCATGCATTGTTTTAATAGGACAACTTGTGAAAAATTTAGTAAGTCAGTTTACCTTTTCTAATTATTATTATACAATTAACCACCAACATTTCATTTTTTTTCCCCTCTTTTTAAAAAAAAATTTTTTTTTTTTTGTACTGAGGATTTGAACCCAGGGGTGCCTTTACCAGTAAGCTACATCCCTACCCCTTTTTTATTTTTTATTTTGAGACAGGGTCTTGCTGAGTTGCTAAGGCTGACCTTGAATTTGTGATTCTACTGCCTTAGCCTCCCAAGTTGCTGGGATTACAGGTGTATACCACTCAGCCTGTCTTACCTTTTTTTTTTTTTTCCTCCTTTTGAAAAACGTCATTCTTGGGACTGGGGTTGTGGCTCAGTGGTAGAGTGCTTGCCTCGCATGTATGAGGTGCTGGATTTGATCCTCAGCACCACACAAATAAATAAATAAAGGTATTGTGTCCATCTACAACTAAAAAAGATTAAAAAAACAAACAAACCAAAAACAACATTCTTGCTGGGAATGGTGCACGTGGCTCCCAAGGCTGAGACGGGAGAATCGTGAGTTCAAAGCTAGCCTCAGCAATGGTGAGCAATGGGAATGGTGCACATGGCTCCCAAGGCTGGGGTTGTGGCTCAGTGGTCAAGTACCCCTGAGTTCAATCCCCGCTACAAAAAAAAAAAAAAAATCATTCTTGGCCAGGCTCAGTGGTGCTTGACTGAAATCCTAGTGGCTCGAGAGGCTGAGGTAGAAGCATCTCGAGTTCAAAGCTAGCCTTAGCAACTTAGCTAGGCCCTAGAGGAACTCAGTGAGACCCTGTCTCTAAATAAAATATGAGAAAAGGGCCAGGGATTGAATCTGGGGCACTTAATCACTGAGCCACATCCTCAGCCGTTTTTATATTCTTATTTACAGAGACAGGGTCTTGCTGAGTTGCTTTAGGGCCTGGCTAAGTTGCTGAGGCTGGCTTTGAACTCGCAGTCCTCCTGTTTCGGCCTCCTGAGCTGCTGGAAATACAGGCATGCGCTGCCTAGCCTGGCCAAAACGTTATTCTTAAAGAGAGAGAATAGGTCTGCTTCATATTCTCTAAGCAGAAAATGAGGAATGGAAAAGCTTTTAAGTTACAGGTCACATTCCATTACTATGAGCTAAAAGGAAAAGACTTTTATTTAGGTGTGGAAGGTAGGGGAGGAGGGTTTTTCTGGAATTTGGTCTTTACTTAAAATGTACCATTACTTCAAGTTTGGAGGTCTCTTAGTTAGAATGGAATTTGACCTCAGTCTTGGGATGACTTGTTTTGTGATTGATTTGAAGGAAGCATAGCATGTGTAAAATTTAGTAATGACTTTAGGATGACATCATGAGAAATAGACCCCTGCTCAGGGGCTAGGGTTGTGGCTCAGTGGTAAAGCACTCGCCTCTCACGTTTGAGACCCTGGGTTCCATCCTCAGCACCACATAAAAATAAATAAACAAAATAAAGATATTGTGCCCATGTATAACTAAAAAAAAAAGACCCTGCTCATGACTGGATAGGAGATGGATTATAGTAAACTTTTCTGATTGGCTTTCTTAGAATGAAAGATATATCACATATAAATTTTATCTCTGAGTTCTTTTCATTTTGGTTCCTTTTTAAGAGAGTGAGATTCCCAAATTGAGAATTTATTAATGGGACAAAAGAATTGGGTTAAGAACAAGTAGAATCCTTGATTAGGTGTCTATGTAGTACATTAGTATTAACTATAAGGTGATTTTTATTCTTAATGTGAATATCCTGAGGTCTTTAAACAGTAATGCTAGCTTTTCTAGCACGATTATTAACATGTTGTGCTTGGATTTTACATCCTTTGTATAGCCAAAGAATCTTTTCAAAATAGAAACACTTTTTCAGCATCTTTGGTCTTTTGAGCTACACTGAAGTTTTTATTTTTTAATTTTTTTAAAAATATTTTTTATTAGCTATTGATGGACCTTTATTTGTTTGTTTATATGTGGTGCTGAGGATTGAACCCAGTGCCTCACACATGCTAGGCAACCGCTCTACCACTGAGCCACAACTCCAGCCCTATTTTTTAGTTTTTTAAAAAAATATTTTTTTAGTTGTCAATAGGCTTTTATTTTATTTATTTATATGTGGTGCTGAGAATCAAACCCAGGGCCTCCCACATGCTACGCAAGTGCTTTACCACTGAGCCACAACCCCAGCCCTGAAGTTTTTATTTTTAATTGCAATACTTTCATTTATTGAACATTCACAGAAGTGATAGAATTGCTTTTTTAAAAAAATATGTCTGAAGTACTCCAGATAGATTATATTCCATGCAAAGAATGTTAGAGTTTAAAGGCTTGGATATGAATTAGCTAATAGTAGAATGATGTTTTCAAAAGATTTAGTTTATATAAATTATGTTCCTTTAAAGAAATGTGTAGTTTTAAGTGTTTGGATAATCTTTGGTTTTAAATTTGACTTTTGTGCTTTCTGCATCTTACTGGGAGTATGAGTTTGACCCTGCATTGTAGGGCATGTAAGGTGAATACTGTTTGTTGTTTGGCTAGAGTATTAGTGCCCTGAAAGGAAGAAAAGACTTGCTGAGTATTAGTCTGGTCATGAGGATGTTCTCTTTCTTGATGCTAAACCTGAAATATCTATTTCTGAATTTATGGTCTTGAGTAATCTTGGGTATCATTGTGATTCACTTCTTTAATTCTAGTGTTTACCTTAAATTGTTTTTTGACTATTATTTGTGAATTCTGATTAACAATATTAATTTTCCCAAATTCTTATTTTTAAACCACAGATTATAAGATCCAATTGTTTTTGTTTTAGAACCTGCAGTAGATTTTTCCATTGTGAAATTCAGGCCTCATTATTTCTTGCTTAACTATTGTAATGGCATCTTCATTGTTCTTCCTGCCTGCATTCTGTCTGTCCACATCCATTCTTTATATATCTGCCAGACTTGATCATGTTAATGTTTTTTGTAAAATCCTTTGTGCATCCTGTTGTCCACAGGATAAAATCTAAACTTAGCCTAGCATTCATGGTCATTCATAAGCTGTCCTTAAATTACCCATCTAGCCTCAGGTCTACCAGCCTCAGGATAGCACATAAATTTTATTTCTACTAGTTTTGTGTTATCTGTTGGGGACTTAAGGTTTCATTGGTCTTTAAACATGCTCTGAGTGATTAGTGACATCTGTCATGGGATAAGGGTAGATTACTATCGTCTGTACTAGCAGTTATATCTTTACTCTGGCTCTTTGGGTTTTCTCATCTATGTTTCCTCATTTCTTGGTATAATGCCTGGCACAGAATAGGTGTTAAATGTGTGTTGATTTGAATTGAGTCTGATTTTCTTTTGCTTGAAATAATTGCATTTTTCTTTTGGTTCTTCAAAGGAAAGGTTGTGTTTAGAAAGTGTCAGAGCTTTAAGAATCAGTGTTATTCTATTTTATTATATGATTTAGTCAAGATGAAATTATAAAAGTAACATTTTAAATAAGGTCAGAGTTTCTAACCAAATTGTCCTTTTTCGGAAAGGATTAATCTAATAGGATTGTTTATTTAATTTTTCAAAAGTATTTTTAGTTGGAGATGGACACAATGCCTTTATATTACTCATTTATTTTTATATGGTGTTGAGGATCAAACCCAGTGCCTCACATGTACAAGGCAAACGCTGTACCACTGAGCTGTAACCCCAGCCCCTGATTGTTTGTTAATTCCATTGAGAAAGTTGATTTATTCTAGATGCCAGTCAGAATTGACAATGTAGAAAATCCAAACCTTTAGAAATATTTGGAGGGAAGTATAATTCTTGTAGAATAAAGGCTGTTCTGTGCATACTAATATCAGTATAATGGTATCTATTTTACCTTCTTCATCTTACATAGATTAGAAGTCAGATTTTTCTTGTAAGGGTATGGGTTTAACAAATCATTGCAGACCTGCATGCACTTTAACTCATAAGTATGGAGAGATTTGAAAGTGTTAAACACTTCTTAAACATGGCTATTTTTGGTTTAAAACAAAGAAAGTCAAACCAACAGGATCAGAGAAGATGAATTGCTATATACTGTAGGCTCCTAGTACTCATTGCTCAAAGCTATATTCCATCCAGTCCTTTGGCATGTTGCCAGCACATTTTAGTTCTCTTACTTCATATTCTTTGGAGAGGCTGTTGTGTAGCCTGATACTACTACCACCAATTTCTAGTTTTGCTACTTAAGCTGTTTGTGAGCTGACCTCACCATACTGCTTTGAGAACTATGATGAAAGTTACAACTGTGGGATGATCTGTCTGAATATTTGGAAGTGTTCATCTTTGCATCTTTCTAGCATGCAAACAGTGAATACAAATCTTAAATGTGATGTGAAT